CAAACTACTAGTTGAATAAAACAAGGAATTGGCACGTAAACCAAAGGCCTATGATCTGACCCAGTGCCCATGAAACAACTTGGCACTTTTCTGTGCATTTACTCTGCCCAATAAAGCCACTCAATATGGATGGTGTAGTTCAAGCTAAACAGAAAGCTGGCAAGGATGGTGCAAGCAGCCCTGGGATACACTGGGGTACAGGTAGAAAATATTCAAATGTATTTAATGTATTTATTTTTATCTTTTCCATTTTTATTTTCTATTTTTACATATGTTTAATAATAGTACTATATACATATACATAGTTTATAAATACATAAATATACACATAATGGAGATGTGTGGTCAAATAGGGATGTGTAATGAAAAAGTGTAGAGACAAGAAGACACCATGGTGCTTGGAGTGTTTCTAAGTAAGGTGTAGCCCTTAATCCCCACCTCACCCCCCTGAGAATCTCCTGGGGAACTTGGTAAATGCGCAGATTCCTTGACCCATCTCAGCCCTATAGGACCTAAATCTCTTGGAGTGGGATGTTTAAAGAGCTTCCCAGTAATTCTGATGCCTACTGAAGTTTGGGAACTACTACAATAGAAGAATTAGAGAAGTAGACGTAAAGAAGCTGAGTTACAGAAACAGCAGAGTCAGTGCAGATGGGAACATCAGAAGTCCATTTCTTAGGGGAAGACTGATAACTTGCCACTATAGCCAGCTTCTGCTGAACCTGACCAAGGAGGAGGAGCCACCCTCCTTGTTCTTCCAGAAATCTGGCTCTATAGGTATTGAGACAATGCCTATACTTCCCCAACTAGCCTTCAAGTAAATTCCCATCACCTAAGGAAAGCTGGGCACTTCCTCTCCTAATGGTTGGGGAGCCAGGGTGCGGAATGTTAGGAACCAACAGCCTCTCACGTAAAGAGAGTACTTTATCCGGTTGAACTTAAAGGATAGCTGACATAATTTCACTAGTTCACGTACCTTAAGCAGTGAGGATAAGATAGGAGGAAGAGGGCATATGAGCCAGAGCTTTTTATAAACATTTGAAAAAGGTCCTATACTGACTAAATATTTAATCTGAAATCATTTGGATGATTTCTCAACAGCATACCAAGTAAAAACAGAGGCTGTAGAGCAGAAGTTAACACTGTCTGTATGACCTCGGGCAACTCACTGATTCTCTCTGTTATTCATGTATTAAATGACAGGTTAGACTTTAAATGATATCTAAGATGCTTTCTGTTTCTAGAAACCAAGTTTGGGCTTAACTCCAAGTTCAGGGTTCCTTTCACTATAACAGGCTGATCAAGAATAAATTAAAATTCTGGCCCTTTAAACTAAAAAATTCAGAAAAGGCACCTATACACCTTTAAGAATTAACTACTAAGTGAATCTTCATGAAGAGAAAATCTCTGCTTTTGTCATCTCTGCTCCCTCCTCAAATAAGGAATTCATGCACAGGTCCTTGACCTATCAAATAGCCAACTGTTTTCCAAACCTGAACGAAAATCCAGAGTGAGGTTAACTGACTGATTTTTATCCTGTACAATGAGACTGCATTATCACCTATATGTAAATGTCCTATCTAATCAAAGTGACATCTTATTTTCATTTATTGCTGCCTTACTTTTCTTTCAGGGTCATCCTCTATTTCTCTTTTCTCCTATCCAAAGGAAAGCAGGTCGGTGGGTTACCAGGCATTCAGTATAAAATGAAACCTGCTAATTGTCACCACCTTTGGGGACAGAGACATCACCTGACATAATACTTTCTACACTTCACTGGGGCAAGCTCTGTTCAATCAGGTTTGAGTGGAATGACACCGTGTAATGTACTCCAATATAGTGTAGCTAATGCCAAAATGGAAAAATGGGAACTGTCTCCTGAAATCTGCTGCAAGCACATGAAAAATTCCAACGAGCATAAAAGTGACAAATCCCTGCAGTATGCCACATTTTTATTTCATGAAGATGGAAGGTGCCACAGCATGATATTCATCTTTGGGAAGACTGAATAAAACGTCATCTGAGTCACCAGTTTAAAGAGATTGCTTAAAAAAAACTTGATCCTATGTGTTATATTACCGATTGAACTTTCTTTATAGTCCCTGGAACCTAAACTACATAAAAATTTTTAAAAATCATTTCTAACTTTTTTATTCTATTGCCTAAAATAACTGCTGTTAATAACAGATTAAGCCAGTATTATAAAACTCTTCTTCTACAACTGTGGAGGTAAAAGATCAGACCCAGCTTGGTTATGAGGCAGCAGAGCCTAGTGGTTAGCAGTGTAGGTTCTGGAGTCAGTCTGACTTCAAATTCTGGTGTTACCATTCAATTGCTGTGTGACCCATATAACATACTTAACCAGTCCAAGCCTCAGTTTCTACATCCGCAAAATGGGAACACCAAGAGTATTTACTTGAGACCATTGTTGTGAGCATTCCATTAGATAATGTATATAAAGCATTTAGGACAGTGTCTGGCACTTAAGTAAACATTTAACAACTATTAGTGATTATTATCTAATGACAATTCCTATTAATGGCTGGCAGGTAAATACTTAAAAATCAAAACTAGTTTCCTGTCTTCAAATATGCTAAAACAGCAATCATGCCAGTCAGAATATAATCTAAAATATATTACGCACAGGTCAATACCTGTTCAACAGCTTCCTGTTCTGTCTGGTAAACATTTACCCACATGCAAATTATGTATCAGCTCCTTCCACTTTCCAGTGTGACAATGAAATGACAGCAGAGAAATGAAATATGGTACTGTGCTGTATGTGAAGAATTATACCATCCGGATGTAGATCTAACCGTCCATTCTTATTCATTTGTACTCTATTTCTTTTTAGACTCTAGCTCATTTCTTCCATCCTTCAGGCTGTAGGCCATGTTAATTTGTAAACCAGTCCAGAAGCCTGTCCTTCTCTCTGGCAAATACAGTACAGCCCCATTCTCAGGCTCCTGCTTTGAACATCTAGAGCTACCACATCCCCCTTGTGGTCATGGCAGGTATTTGCTCAGCTCTTGGGGAAATTACCAGGAACCTCAATCATACATGTACCCACAGAATCACCGTCTCAGATACCCTTTGGCTAACACCATTTGATTCCAGGATTCTTTTGATTAACGCTTGGTGGCTTTTAAGTGTACACAACAAGAACAACAACAAAAAAGCGAACTCTTAAGGGAACCAGTTGAGAGAAGAGGGAAGCGAGGAGAATGCAGTTACTCCAATCATTCCACTTGCCCTCCTTTCTCCATGTCACATACAACATGAGAAATTTTCAATTTCTATTTTGCTCCAATGTTTGATATCATTTGTCATTCCTCTCTATGTTCTTCTGCATCAGTATAGTGTTTTAGAACATAAATCTCTACAAACAGTGGGTCAGTCATTATCCTGTAACTTTGATGGCCTCAGGAAAGTCCACCTCTGAGGGAATTAAAAAGACAAGAGAAATAAGAGTATTAAGTAGACTAGTGAGGATAATATAATAATAGCTAACACTTAAGAGTTGGAGGGACTTTTTTTTTTTTTACAATCTGTATAATCTATAACCCATGTTATGTTTGACTTTTCTGTTTATTTTCTTACTCCCACTTCCAACCTCCTCACAATGTAAACTCTTTAGTTGTCTTCTTTCCCGCCCAAACTTCCCCCAACATTTCCTTCACAATTCCCCACCCAGTAGTGATCACTTAATAGTGGAGCAATTTTTTCTTTTGAAATAGGACTTTAACACTTTAAGGACAAATTGCTTCACTTCCAAAATGAAACTCAATCTGACTGTCATCTCATCAGCGAATTCATGTTTTGCTTTCACCGTATTCCCACCACTTAGAACAGAGCCTGACACATGGTGAGCACTCCAGCACATATTTGTTGAATCAGAGAATTAATTCTTTTTCTTACAAATCTGAAACCAGTCACAGCACAAAATGGCTACTGACATCTTGTTACAGAACCCACAACCTCTGTCTCTAGCAACCAGCACAAGGTTTTGAGACCAGCCTGAGAAGCCTCAGGCAGGCCCAGCACAGCTGGGCTTGGAAAAGCCTGAGCTCAGATATTTTCTCTTTGTCAACAATAATAATCCATAACCAATCTATAAAGGAAAGTGTGGGCGAGTCTGCTCTGAGCCAAAATGTGAGGACCATGGCCCAGGGCCTTTCTTCCCGAAGGAAGTAAGGACACCAAAAAAGTGGGGTATACAGAGTGGTTATATACCCCCAAAGAGGATGTTTCACATATGATTGAAATGTCCCTTTTACAACAGTCATGAGACTGCTCTGTTGGCACAGCGGCTGACAGACACAGCAGGTAGTAGGTTGCTGTCTCTGTGTACATGTCAGGGTGTCAGTTCTGTTGTCTCTGAGCTGGGTGGTCACAGGTGAGCACAGCAATCACTTCCTAGCCTAGGGAGAGATGCTTATCCTTAAGGAAATGCCAGTGTGGGGGGAAGTTGCACCTTTCTCTTAAGGGCATGTGTTCTTGCCATAGTACACGTTGAAAGCAGATATACAATGCGTGCTCAACGGCGACGTGAGGCCCTATTGGAAAAACAAAGGCCAAATTAAGTTTATACCAAATTGGCTCCCTCATATACTCCAATATATCCTATTGCTTAACATTTCTATTTGTCATCTTGATGGTTTGCACAATAATTAGCCTAATGCGACCCAACGTTCCCTGTGAACCAAAGGCTGCTTTACTGGCTGGAAACCTGCCGTCCCTGTGGTAAACACTTCACGAATTTGCCGAACGTCTGTATATCTAACTGTATCAAGTTACTACAATAGTAACAAGAAGCCAAAAAGCGAACAAACGACGTGGCAGGGCACCAAACGTCCTAAGCCTGAGGTCGATAAAAGAACAAAAGCCTAGGACAAGATGGCGTCCTCTCCCAAAACAAGAAGCTGCGAAAACGTCAACGCACAGGAAGCGTGCACGCGCCCGGACGCGTTCTGGGCTACGTTCGTTGGGACCAAACTCACGCGCGCTGGTGCATCCAATGAGTGCTGTGAGTTAGACTCCACCCCCGTTTTCCGCCACTCCCTGCGCATATGCGCTCCAGGCCCTCAGCAGGATGCCAGCTGCGCAGGCGCAACAGTCCCCTCCTCTCACGCAACTGACGCAAGGAGACTGTAATCGGTTCGCAATTTATCCCGTGTGACCTTGAGTCTTTCCTGCCTCTGAAGACCGGGGCTGTCCAAGATACTGCCTTTATACATCTTATAGTCCCCTCGCCTCTCGCTGAGCCCAGACCTACCGCAGCTGAAACGGGAGGAAGCTCGTTTTCCAACCATCATGCTACGAAGCGTATTAGCCGTACGCCCTGACTCCGGGATCGACGTTCAGGTAGTCTCTGGTCAGGCAGAGCAGGCGGCGCCTCAGCGGAAGAGCGGGCCTCTGGGCCCCAGCGACCAACCCCCGCCCCCCACCCCACGTGGTTGGAGGTTTCCAGAAGCGCTGGTCCAGCAGTGCCGCGCAGCTCCTGGTCGTCCGAGCGCCTTTTTGCTGCCTGGTACTTCAACCGTAGAGCCGCCATGATAAGCGTCAGTCGAGCCGCAGCAGCCCGTCTTGTCGGCGCCGCAGCCTCCCGGGGCCCCACGGCCGCCCGCCACAAGGTAAGGAACTGCCGAGCCTTCTCCCAGGGGCTTACGGCCTTGGGCCTCTGTGCGGCAGCCCGCGCCCTTCGGGCTCAGAATCCTCCGGGAGAGATTGGGAGGGAAGGAAGATAGCGAGTTTTCAGAACTCAGCGTTCCCGGTTCAAGGCCTAATTCAGGGTTCTGCGTCCATGTCTCAGGCGCTGCTGAGTCACACCCCTCGCAAACCTGGAGCCTTACTGCACGAAGTAGCGGATAGTAGTCTTGACGGTGTTTTCTGTGCTTATCAAACAGGTTTGGCCTTAGGATCGAGGGACGCAGTCTCTTGCGAGGGAACCGCTATTCTAGTTTTCATTTCCCCTACGAGTCGAAGGACGACTGTTCTTTGCCTCTGTAAAACACATAGTGTGTAAGGACCGCGTTGATGTGGTGAAATGAAGGAAGAAAAGCACCCAAATGACGAATTGAAAATAAAGCTCCGATATCCTTGCTTAGGAACATTTGTCCAGTTAGTTCCTCAGAATCTTTCATGTAAAATTGTCTTCCTGTGTTATTTCAGAAAAAGTAAGCAGATTCTAGGAAAAGGTCATGGTTCGGTTGTTCATTATCGTGTAGGACGAAAAACGTTCATCGTTGGAGAATAGGATTTGTGCCTCTTTTTGCACTCACGCGTGGTTAAAGGAAGGCTTGGGAGTAGCCTGAGGTTAGGTTGAAGAGAGGTCTTTGATCCTGGGTGGAGGCCACTCCTGACAAATTTGTCTCTTTCTAAACTGACTCTGCATGACTGTTAATCCTAGTCCCCTTAAATCAGTTACTTGGCAAGGTCGGGTGAAGTGTCTCTGAGTAATTTAGATCTACACCTGCAATACACACGTATATAGAGTTTAGGTATACACTGTTCCTAACAAGTTGAGGCGTATCTAACTAGTATTTTGTAATGCAGTGATTCTCAACCAAGGGCAGTTTTGCCTCCCCAGCGAATATTAGGACTATCAATTTGGGGAGCTGTGCTGTTGGCTTGTGGTGGTAGAGGTCCAGGATGCTGCTGAACATCCAACAGTGAGCAGAGCAGGCCCCCCACACAGAGATTTGGTTCAAAAAAAGTAGTGTCAAGGTTGAGAAGTCCTGTTGTAAAGTAACTCAAGATAATTTTACACTTACTTATCTTCATTTTACTTATGTGGGAGATTCATAACTTTATCGGATTTGGTTGTTTCAGTACCATAATGTTTATTAAATATGAAATACTTTCAGTACATTTTATATATGATAGCCACTCAATTAACAGACTTAAAGTCTTATTAAACTTTCATGTGTTCTTCAGAAGAATAATTGGAACAAGCCTAAGTTTTCATGTATAGTTGATGTCTGATATAAGTTTGTTTGTTTTTTAGGATGGCTGGAATGGCCTTAGTCATGAGGCTTTTAGAATTGTTTCAAGGCGGGACTATGCGTAAGTGTTCACTTTCTTTGAAATGTCTCTAAATTTGTGATTAATCGTTCTGTTCAGAAAGAGAGACACATTCATATTTATTTATAGATTATGTAATGTTACTATTCCCACAGTATCAAGTATTTTTTTAAGCTTTCCTGCAGCCATTTGGGAGACCACTATTAAGATAACAATAACCAAAGCAGTGTTTTAAATGTCTTACAGATCAGAAGCAATTAAGGGAGCAGTTGTTGGTATTGATTTGGGTACTACCAACTCCTGTGTGGCGGTTATGGAAGGTAAACAGGCAAAGGTGAGCATGATTGGAAGCTCTGGATCATGTAGTGATAGCTAATACCCCATCCAGAATTCTGTGTTCTTTGGCTTAGGTAGGGACGTATTAAGAGCTGCTTTTAAGTTCTTAAGACCCTTGTGAGGTCAACCTTTGTGCTTAATTGCCTGGTGCTGATGACTGAATGGATTTGACTTCCCAAGCCTTAGATGTGTCGTAGCATACAGGTAAGACTGCTAAGTTACCATTGGAACCCATTGGGATGACTTTCACTGTTGGTTGTTTCCGTGTTTAGAGTCCAGCTTTTTTGTAAGTGAGTTGAACCAAGGCTGGAGGTGCAGAAACCGTCTAGAAGCAAGTGGAGCTCCGCGTAATGCATGGGCTGTATCCTAAGTAAAGCACATTTTTAGGAGCTCCCTGCTATGGTAGAGGTGTCCTGGAAGCCTCCTTAACTGTGTTCATGAAACATTTATTCTCACTGGGTTCATCTCAAGATTTAGAGCCCCTGGGATTCTTGAATTGCTTCTTCACAGTTTTTTTGTGCCTGAAACTTGTAGCCATCACAAAAAAAATGTAGCTTTAATTCTCCATATGGAAGGAAAGATTACCTTGTCCTAACATTGAGTATGAAGGATCCAATTTAAATTTATTCCAGTTTTTTGTTTTGTTTTTAGTTATAAGTTATTTTGAAGTAAATGGCTAAAAATAATGTAAACATCTATTTCCAGTAGTAGGTACTTACTATATCTGCATTCATACAGCAGAAACGCATGCCCAGTGGCGGGCCCTCTGGCCAAGTGGTTAAGTTTGTGGGCTCTGCTTCTGCAGCCCAGGGTTTCACCAGTTTGGATCCTGGACATGGACTTAGCACCGCTCATCAAGCCATGCTGTGGCGGAGTCCAACGTAGCATAACCAGAAGGACCTGCGGCTAGAATATACAACTATGTACTAGGTGGCTTTGGGGAGAAGAAAAAACACCACCCAAAAGACAAAAAGAAACACATGCCCATTAGTACTGTTCTTGAGCATTTGTGTTGTGACTTGGCACCTGTTTTGTCTTAAATGATTGATACAAAGACACTGGTGATGACTAGAACCTCATTCTGTATCTTACTTTGGGAGTTTTAGGTGCTGGAGAACGCTGAAGGTGCCAGAACCACCCCTTCGGTTGTAGCCTTTACAGCAGATGGTGAACGACTTGTTGGCATGCCGGCCAAGCGACAGGCTGTCACCAACCCAAACAATACATTCTATGCCACTAAGCGTCTCATTGGCCGGCGATATGATGACCCTGAAGTACAGAAAGACATGTGAGTAAGAGCAAAAGTGTAGTTACTTGCAAAGGCCATACAAAAGAATTTTTTCAGCAGGATCCCTGGTTAGGTGTTTGGTATGTATTGACATGATGTGTGAAGATTTGGCTAGTCATTCCTGGACCATGTAAATTGGTGTTAAACCCATGAGGCCGATAGCGGCATGGGTTCCGTTATGTGCAGATCAGGTATATTTTCAGGGTCGATCCATGTTGTAATGTGTATCAGTATTTCATTCCCTTTTATGGCCAAATATTTTTCTATTGTATGGATGTGTATTACATTTTGTTTATCTGTTTGTCAGTTAATGGGCATGTGGATTGTTTTCTCTTTGGGGCTATTATGATTAATGCTGCCGTAAACATTTGTGTACAGTTTTTGTGTGCACATCTGTTTTCATTTCTCTTGGACCTAGTAGTGTGATTGCTGGGTGTTACAGTAACCGTGTAATTGCTTTCCCAATAAGCAGCATCATTCTTTTGTTGGGGGGAAAAAAGAATGTTCAGGTTCCATCACGATGTTTTTACATGTTAATGATTGCTTTCTAAAGGTTTTCTTGAATCCTGAAGTTCTCATTTGTTGGCTCTGGATCTCGGGGTAGGGGTTGGACTTTATGGTGTATGGGAACTTTGTCATGGTAGGTTGCACTGGCATGTTTTCTCAAACATAAATTTTGTCTTTCAGTAAGAATGTTCCCTTTAAAATTGTGCGTGCCTCTAATGGTGATGCCTGGGTTGAAGCTCATGGAAAACTCTATTCTCCAAGTCAGATTGGAGCATTTGTGTTGATGAAGATGAAAGAGACTGCAGGTGAGTTCACATCAGGGGAAGTTGGGAGAACTGGCTGATTCCTCTGAAATCACTAGCTGCCATGCCCATATCCTTGTAGGAGTCTGGTAGGTTTTCTATAGAAAACCGAGGAATGGCAACACATTGTTAATTTCACACTTTCCCTGCAGATTGTGAATTTGTCTTCTACGTTTTCCTAATGGTGCATTGCTTGTGGTCATCCCTCCCCCCAGGAAGGGAGAAGTATTCTGTGTTGAAAGCCAAAAGACTACACATTAAGCTTTCGTCTCTGTTAGATAAAACTTAGAACTTCCCATTTGAAAAAACTAGTAGCTGTTTCAAGTCTAAAAAGTAGGTTATTATAGCTGGTGAACCTTCACTAAAGTGTTAAGGTGATATCTTGGGTTTTCAATGTGTGTCTTTAATTGGAGTGTTTTCCTACAAGGTCTCTACGTATTGTCACATGCTAAAAAACTGGTGGGTGCTGTCTGTGACTTCAAGGCTATATTAGTAATCTATTACGTATTTATCTGACAGAATCTCATGATTGAATTTCATTCTTTGATTCTTTTCCAGAAAATTACTTGGGGCATACAGCAAAAAATGCTGTGATCACAGTCCCGGCTTATTTCAATGACTCTCAGAGACAGGTGTGTTCAGTTAGCTTTCTTATTCAGGAAATTAATTGTACTTGGGACACAGGAGTAGAAAATGCTTTTTTTCTTTAGGCCACTAAGGATGCTGGTCAGATATCTGGACTAAATGTACTTCGAGTAATTAATGAACCCACAGCTGCTGCACTGGCTTATGGTCTAGACAAATCAGAAGACAAAATGTAAGTTTGTGCAGTAAGTTCTACCTGGATTTGTGAGACTAAGTTTATGGAACTATGAGACTTATCCTAAATTATCATCTTAATTTCTTAGTGATCGAGCCTTGTACTCCAACTGAAAATGTGATGCCTTAACCTTCAAGGCTGTATGATCTGTGTTTTTCATTCATTTG